GAAAGCGAAGGAAAGGGAAAGAAAGGGAAGGAAAGGGAAGGAAAGGGAAGGCCTGACGAATAGCTTCCAAACCCATCTTTGAATGGCCCCATTGTGATCCTGTTCTATTTTTCGCGTTTTTGTTGGTTTTTTGAGAAAGACTGAAAGAAAGACATAAATAAAGAAGGAACCAAAGAACGAACGTGGAAGAATGAAAAATGAAAGAATGCAAGAATGAAAGAGAAAATACATAATGACAGAATGACAGAATGAAGGAAGGAAAGAAAGAAAGAAAGAATGAAAGAAATAGCCGATCAAAACATACAAAAGGAACGAAAGAAAGAACAAGCAAACACCAGTGAATTTCTTATGCAAGGAAACATGACGATGAAGGGGCGCTTTTTCAATTCTGTTGAAACCTTGCAAGACTGCTTCAACAAATGTCGTGCCCTACAAGGACCTTTTCAAACCTGCCAGGGGAGGATTGTGTTTTGAAATGGGGATGAGCGACCCGCTTGACGTTACTGTTGGGAAGCGGGGTGGGAATGAGATTGAGTTCCTCGAAAGAGCCGGTGGGTCTTTTAAGCTTGAGGCTGATGCAGAAAAATCTGAGGCATCCATCGAATAAATCCTCGAAGCGATTTCAACCTCCAACCTTCAAGAGGGGTGGCTGCTCCAAGGATACTCGGCAGCTCTTTCTTTGCGTGGCTTCTCTGCAGGTGTACTTAGGACCTCTTTGCAGGCCTTCCCTTTTGAGGGTGGCAGCACTCCAAAGGGACCAGGCCCCAGAGTCTGGGAAAGGAGGCGAGGAGCGTAACACTTCCTAGAAATCGAAGAACAGCACGCACCAAGCGTGGAGAACAGCGATCCTTATCTAGCCAGCCCCTGAAAACCTCAGTCCGGCCCCAACTGGCGGAGGGCTGGGACCAGCAGATCTACTACACCTTCAAGGAGGGGTTTTGAAGAGAAGGGTTGCACAACTTGTACAAGTGGACAATCCGGAAGCCATCATCTTCTGACCAAGGGCTCACACCCCTGAAATTCCGAAGGTGCAAAGCAAGTTGTATTTGGGCTTGAATTTTGTGCTGTGCATCACTTGTGCATCGTTTGTACATTGTTGGTGCACCGCTCGTGCACCCTTTGTGCACGTCTGGAGGAGGGTGGGCGCTGGGTGATGCCGGCCCAGTACTGGCATCGGCGAGTGAACTTCAAAACGTCGGCCGCTCCGGAGTTAGCTGGTCTTTTGAGGTTAGCTGGTCTTTTGAGGGACTTCATCCGCTTTGGTGGGTTCACGGTAATTCAAAATTGTATGGGTAAGTGCGAGAGGGATGTGGTGTATTCTCAACTACAGACCTCGTAGGCGCATCAGCCTCTTCTGCGGACCCTAGTCAAGCTTGTCCAGCGGCAGATTTTCGTGCCGTCTTCGCCCCGCTCTGACACTTGTTTTTCAGTGGGCGAAACACGAAGCCATTTTTAGGTCATCTTGGATTCAGCTGGGGTGTCCACTTGCCCTCGAAAAAGGTCGGATAGGGTGCAACATCCGAGATCATAGTTGCAAGCGTGAGAGACAAAACAGAGAGATAACGTGTGTAAACAAGGCTGCAAAATCAAGCACGAACGATGTCGCCATCTTAAAGTATCCTTGTTTTTTGGCTTGCCCTGCAACAGGGCAAGCAAAGCACCCTCAAGCGATGCCAAAAGCATGCTTTCTGCCACGGAGCCCCGGTTACCTCCGGTCCTTTGAAAGGTTCAACGTGGACTTCTGGTTCCTGGACACCAACATCCTGGACACCCAGAATCCCGCGGCTCCCGCCTCAGTTTTGGAAGTTTGGAGTTGGGCGGGGGGGTAGGCTTATTGAGGATGACGTAGGAGCTCGGCTGGCATTTGTCACAGGTGACTTTTTACAGGTCCTTCCCTACATAATTTAGAATTAGCAACAGTTTTTGGACAGATTCCTTTAAGACTATGCGGTGCACTTCCGAGCTGTTGGCGTAGACTCTGGCGCTGAAGGCCCCAGAGTCCTAGAGGTTTGAGTGCGTCATTGCTCAGATCGAACTACGACCACGCGTCCTGTGAGGACAATCCTGACCACAACCTTTGTGCCACGCGGGGAAATCCGGGTCTCCACTGCGAGTCCGACAAGCACGCAGCCCGGGGGGCTTGGGAGATTACAGGGCTCGCGTTGGGGGGCCCTAGGGCCCTTGGGCTTCAGGTTCGAGGACTTGCAGGGACTTGCAGGGACTAGTCAGGATCCTTCACTTCTGCAATCCTAGAAGTGGCGGGTCGGAGCTTCTCACGTTGCTGGGCCTTGCTCTCACAAAGCTCCGCAATCCCAAGCTTGGCGTTATCAGGTACCCCCCAGCCAACGGCACCGACGGGGGCTCGTGCGCCGCCACGGGGCCAACCAGCCCGACGGACTGGGCCCCGCAGTTCAGAGCATGAATTCTAGGGACGAGCATGATCTGGAATTCTCAAAGCCCTAAACTGCCTAGGCCTAGACTTCCTGAACGTCCAAAAATCATAAGACATCTTTCAATGCTTTCAACCTTCCCCCCCCCCTATACGAAGCCTTGCCGCACGCGCCAGGATTGCGTGACGTGGTTCGAGAAGCTCTGGGCTGATCAGAAGAAGCCATTGCGCCCAGAGGGGCTACAAAGAGGGCTCACGAGTGTTCAGCGTGCTCCCGAGGACTCTCTTCTTTGGCTTTGCTTTTTGCTGTGGCGTTGGTTTCTCTGAGAAAGGGGATGGTGCGGAGCCCTTCGCGCAAGCCTTTGGATCATTGGCAGTGATCATTATCAAAAGCCCCTTCTGGCTCCCTCATGCATGCTTCGCTTCAAAGCTTCCAAAATCTAAACCCGACCACTCTTCAATCATCAACGGGCAGAACCGCTTGAAGCTTGCAACAGCTGTCAATGCTGACAAAGAACCGAGAATCCCACTTTCCCGTGGTTTGTTGATCGTTTCAAGTGCTGTCTGAGGTGGTTCACCGATGCCGTGAAGAAATCCACAGCGGACTGGCAGATCGTGGTGATGCCTGGAACTTGGGCTCAGGGAGGGTTTCGCCAAGCTAGAATAAGCTAAACCTGTAAGAGCTTTTTGTTGAGCCTTTGAACTCCTGAATCTTACTGGGTGTGAGTGGCACTGAGTCTGAGTGCTTCTGCAGCGCACCCCCCATGGCCGACTGCGCTGAGCCTCACTGAGCGCCTCCCTTGAGTCCAGGCATCATCCACCGAGCGCGGGTCCCGATGACACGGCAAGTCATGCTCGGTCTTGGAGTGGGACCTTGGGACCTCCAGTTTGGGAGTCAAGTTGTCTAAACTGTCCTCAAAGTATGCGTAGCAAACTGTAGGGACTTCTCCTTTCGGCGTGAGTCTTAGAATTATTGCTTTGGGTCACATTTGTGAGTCGGGGCGGTCAGCACTTAAGCGCGAACACCATGAACACGGTGAACAGCATGCTAAGCCCCAAGCCTCAAGCGCCTCGCCTTTGCCAATTCATAAACATCCTGGGCAGAAAGACCAGAAAGCACTCCTAGGCACGAACGAGTGGCACCATTTAGAGCACACTTGAACATCGAGAAAACAAGGACATCAACCAAGAAAAGAACACACACTCGTAAAGGTCTCTGCGCTTCCTGAGGCTACACGCCAGGTCGCGGCGCCAGCGTTCTTCACTGGGCGGACCGCTCTCTGAGAGCTGCTCTCTCATGCCTTGTTTTGGTAAGGTAAACACCTGCTGCAAGCTTTCCTAAACTTTCCTAGCTTTATTAAATGCCTACTATTCGTTGTGTGTTCCAACTCCGGGCGGGGAGCGTTTTTTGTTAATCTGATTTCTCTTTTTGTTGGTGACTTTGTCGTCTTTATGATTATTTATGTTGTTGTTATTTTGTTTTTAGTGTCGTTGCGTCTTTCGCTAAGTCTAACTCTGTCTCGATTTTGTTTGTTCCAACCTTGCTTCTCTTTCTGGCTGCAGTTTCCCCCCCCCTCGGTTTGCTGTTCACCGAGAACCGAAGCAAGAGTGATGTCCGACGATGATCATCGGCTTTAAACTTTAAGTAGTCAGGCAGGCAACGATCGTTGACTTTTTACTTTGTCGAGGTGGATGCATGGCGGATAAACACATGACATTGCGTCAGGGTCTTTGTAATCAGAATTGCGTATTGTGACCCGTATTCTCGGATTAGAGCTTGGCCACCCATGGTGGCAGATTTTGGGGTTGGGGATATTGTTGGAGGCTTGAGGGTTGAAGTGTTTTGTTGGGTTTTAGGGCTTTAGACGTGTTTCGGATGTGTTGAAGTTGGGAGTTTGGCTTCCCAGAGCCTTCCGTTGGACTTGGGCAGAGGACATCGCACGAAGCGCTGGCATCGACCTCATCGTCACGGGCCACCGTCATGAGCAGAAGGCTGGTGAAGTCACTGCAGGGCTTTGGCGGCTGCAGGGCCGGACCTTCATGGCCCTGTGGATATGCATTGTAACATGGTGACATAGGACTGCAGCTTCATTTGACTGGCGCTGAGGGGGGAGGGGTTAATTCCATGCACCACGCACACGCACAACCCTGGAATTCAGCTCGTGGAGGGCGCTCGCGACAGCCACCCGGGCCATAAATGGTTCATATAAATTATTCGAGGATGTTCCTTCAAGCCTTTGCAGTTTTTGCAGTAGCTGTCTTGATGCCTAAGCCTAGACGCAACCTGCCGGATCAAGGAGGCACCAGAAGGCTTTCATAGGAGCTCGTACCCGCAATGGAAGCCACATCAGCTTTTCAGGCCTCTCTTTTAGACCCCGGCTTCATAGACCTGAGCAGGCACACGGCGACCTTGATCCGCTCTGCAAAACACGCATAAGTCGTTACAGAGCACTGCAAGGGCTGCAACAAAAGTCACGTATTACTCGACAAGCCAAGAGGCCACGCTGCAGCCGCCAAAGTCACGAACTGAACCCAAGGCCTCCAAGTCCCTGATGCCTTTCGAACACAACTTTTCAACTTTTCAACGGATCGTGAGCGGATCGTGAGCACCATGGTCTCGGAGCCAGCGTGCAAGGAGTACCAAGCCCAGGCGGAATGCTTTGCCGGCTTAGGCTGTTTCTCGTTTTCCGCTTCTTAGGGGCAGCCCCAGAGAATCCTGCAAAGCTCTGCATCCACGCACTTCCCCAAAGCACCCCGCAGAGAATCTTCTAAGAGTACCCGGATGTCCCAAAGTAGACCCCATAGAGCCAATGAATTTCATGGTGAAGAGATGTTGGGGGATGTACCTCTCCCTCTCTATATATTTTCGTATTTGTTTTAGGAGTGGGGGATGGGGATGGGGGCGTGGGGGGCTATGATAGCATATTCATCAACGGCCCTGTTGAGGGTTGTGTCAAGATATGGCAACTCTTGAAATACACGGGCTTGCTTGCAAGCTTGTCCAGGATTCTGCTGAAAGTGCTTTGCTTTTAATGTCACAGGTCTCTTGCTGAAGGCCTCTTCGGGCCTTGGAGGGTGTCTACCCAACCCCAACCCACGATACCCCTCTGAATAGAGTCATAGAGGTCGCGGCGATGGAGGTCTCTACAGAGGCGGCCTATCAGGACTGCCTTTGGTTTCGAATGTTGGCGAGTGCATTGCATTCTTTTGTGGCCAACAGTTTCGGGCCGGACCACCATCAAAGACCCTTTACGCTTTTCAGGGAGCATGCGCCCCCCAATTGTCAAGGTCATTCGCCCTCACACCTCTGCTGGAAGCCGAAGACTGAGATCCAAGCCCTAAACGGCCTTAAACCTGAAGCTGGACATGGCATCTACGCTTCAATTTGAGTCATGTTCATCGCTGGCTTCCTGGAGCCCGAGAGCTCTTGGAGTTGGGTGCAGTGAAACGCAGCCACTGTTATATCTTAGCTCAACCAGTCTACAGACGCAGGGGTGCAGGACCTATCCACAAGCCCCCAGAGTTGAGAGGGAAGACGCGGCGCCAAGTTTTTGTCAAGTCTCGGAGGAGCTTGCCCGACGACGGGAGGAGGTGCTGGCCAGCGTGGGGAGCTGGTGTCAAGCGCTCAAGGCAAGAATGAGAGCAGCTAGGGCTTGTCACTTGTGGTGCGTTACCATGGCTTGTGATGATGATTGGTTTGGAAATTTTGCGTCGCGTCAGCTGCTAGGTTCGGGTTCCGGCTTCACGAATCTTGTCAATCTTCTGATAGCTGTTTGTCGTACCATATCCGAAGTGCGGTGCCAGTCAGGGTCTCCAGGGTCAATAACAAACTTGTGCGCATGTAGGCTTCCCAACTTCCCAGTCCACCCAACCTGTCTACTGCAAACGGCTGCAAGCAATATGCTCCCCCAAATTCCCCGAATCGCCCCTTGAATCCTTGAATCCCCGAAAGGCCGTCCGGGCGCCACAAGCTCTGGAGCCCTCCGAAGGCGACCCCAAGGACAACACTCAATGACACTCAGCGTGACAAACTCCCCCCCCCCCCAAAAAAAAAAAGAGCTCTTAATTTCGCTGGTTATCCTCCAGGGGACCTGAGATGTGTGGATGCGTCTGATGAAGTCAGTGGCGCAATCTTGCCCTCAGTTTCAAAACAGGCAACTTCAGAAGCACGTAGAAGCCAGTGGCAGCTCGTGAACCAGCTATAGGCCGTCAAAAGAACAAATGATAGGAATGAAAGCCCGTGCGTTCCTTGTGTCGTTACTGTTGAAGTTTTCGGGGCTTTTTGGAGAGAATGCTAAAGGTAACAAGGAATCCTGGTTTTTTCGCACCAACAAGAAATGGCGGTCAGGGACGTGCTGAAGTTTCAGCTGTCTCTTGGAATCTTTGATGGCAGTGCTTGCTGCGTCCATTCTAATGGGGTCTGCGTATTGTGGTGTTGGGTGTTGGAGTCACGCTTGGCGCCAAGTCTTTGGGCTCTTTGAACCGTGCTCCGTGAGTGACTTGCGATATGCCGGACGGTTTTGCACGGCTTGCGATCTACGGCGGCATCATTGGCTGTCGATCGATTGTTCCTTTTTTTGTGCTAGGCGAACGGAGTCAGGGCTCGCAGTGTGCGAGCTAGAAACAAAATGTTACATTTTCGGCAGGAGACCTCACAGCTGCAGAAGCACTTGCGGGATGCGCTGTTTACGGAGATCTGCAATGCCTTGGCTGCTTGCAGCATGGAAGTTGCAGTTCAGGGTGTAAGCATGTGTAAGCTTGAAAGCTTGGAGCGCTGAATGTTCAAGGGGCTTTTGGGAGAGGAGGCGGCGTTCGATTGTTGACAGTGAAGATGTCCGTGGTCATGTCGGGTTTGGGACTTGAGGGCAGCACGGCGCAGCAGTCTCGCCAAAAGTTCTTAAGTGCAACTGCAATGACTGCAGTAAGCAGCGCGAAGCTGAAACCTCGCGCGAGTGAGAGGCTTTCCCTGGCGCTGCGGCGCTCGCAAAGCCGACCACACCCACGAAGGCCTTGCTTGTTAGATAAGGGCAAGCTACACTTTCGATTGCTTCTGTGATCTTTCGGGCATAACTTCTGGATTGGAAACGTCTTCACGGCCCAGGATGACCATCTTTGCTTTCCGAATCTCCGGTGTTGCAAAGTGCTGGAGTTTTGTTGAGTGAGGAAGAAGGCGCTTCCAAGGCTGTATTGCACAGTCACCATCCCAGAACCCATGACACAATGCCGAAATATGCCGAGGTCCTTAATTGTACTATTATTTCCCAAGTCAGCTTGCTGCTCAGGTTGTGAGCCAGCGCCAAGTCTCGAAGAGTGCTGCTGTGGTGTCCGTTCGAACGCCCCGCACCCCCCAGAAGCAGCTGGGCTCCACTTGGATTTCAGTGCTTCAACAGGGCCCATGTTACGGCGTTAAAGAAACCACAATGAACTGGTGGAACTTGACAGGAACAAGCAGCATCCTACTTCGGCCTTCGGCCCCAAGTTTGAGATTTGAAGCCATCATCTCTGAAGCCGAAAGCGTAAGGGCGTTGCACTTGAAGCATTGCCTTATTCAAAGCCGTCTCGAAGCCCCAAGAGGTCCGTGTCGGGCTCCCGAGAGTCCCTCAGCTCACGCGCCACCTCGCTAACTCCTCGGAGTCCTCCACTTTCCGCCCTGGCCCGGAAGGACTCAGCAGACTCAACGCAATTGAGGGTGTTTCTTGGGGTGGGGGGGGGGGGGGGGTGTTGGAAGGTTTTTTGGGACTGACGGCGAACAACGATGATGATGAGGATAGTGGATAGAGCACAGAGCATAGACGATAGCGGAGAGGATCGAAAAAAAAGATGATGAGGATCGACACCATAATCAATGTTAGGAACCCCTCAAACCGCAGTCTAGTCCTGGAGGACGCCCGGCCGGTGCAGCTATTGGCCAAGCAAAGGCAGAGTGTACTTTCAAGAGCCGGGTTCCCACCAACACGATCCGACCTGACTTCCTCAGACTCCTCCGGGACCTAGGTGACCTACTAAGTCACCTGCTGAGTCACCTACTGAGTCACCTATTGAGTCACCTACGAAGTCGCCCTATTTCAAGCTGGACCTACTCGAATGTGACCTTGGACCTTGGGCCAGGGTTAAGCAGCTTCGTGGTGTGGAGGCGTGTCCTATGCGGTAGGGGTCAGACATCAAGGGGGAGTCCGTGGTTACAGAATACATTCTCCCAACACTTGTCGAGAATGAAAAACGTGACATGACCCTGCCTTTGCGCTGACAGGCCTTCCCAAACGAACGGTACTACGGAGAAGCGGCCCGCGGGCCCTGTGAGCCTGACAGAAAGGAGAGCCGCGGAAAGCATTGGATCATTGGGGCCCTGGGAAATGATTGGGACCCGTTCAAGGGCCGAGCGCTTGGGGCTGATCTCGAGTGAAAGGTGGAATGAGTCGCCTCTCCTACCTGACCTCTCCTCAAAGATTTCAAGAATCGCAGGAGCTCCCGGCCTAGCGAGCGACCACGATCCCAGCAGTTTCTTGCATCTCAGAGCTTCTGGAGCTTTTTGGAGCTTTTGGAGCGTTTGGAGCCTCGGGAGCTTTCACAAAACAGGACTTGTTTGCGTTCTACTCGGTGTTGAAGGGGAGTTAGGAAGAAGGCTTCTTTTTGGAAGACTCAGGTTCCAGATGCCCGCCTTTGCAGGAGTTCGACGCAGCTCCAGCTGCTGGGTGGATCTGGGTACACAGCGGAACCAGATTTGGCAAAGAGAGCATCACAAAGAGCACACCGAACTAGACGTCCCAAGTCCAACCGAACTAAATTAGGGCTTTTGCGAACTTGGTGTCCCGGCGTTCGGGGATCTGTTTCCGGCTTGTGCAGAGGTTGAACAACGGATGGCTCCGAAGGGTTTGGGATGTCCCCCCCAGCGCTTTTCAGTTCTTCACTTTTCCTCCCGCGTCCAAGACGTGCTGCGCCCCCCAAGGCCCGCGGAACTCTGCGCAGCCTCCGCTCTCGGCGCGGAGCCTCTCCTCGCAGCTGCGGCACTGAGACTCGCAGGGAGCGGGAGTGGCTGTTGTAGCACTAAGTTAGGACGACTAAGTTAGGACTCTTTGGGGATTTAGGGGGAAAGGAGAGATGAAAAGACAGCCCTGCCCCCGAGGCCGTAATGCCACAATTCGGATTGCCGGATCGAGGGATGAAGGCTGCGTCGAGGGCAGCGCATGCAGCGGAAGAGCGGCGAATGCGAAGAACGAATCAGAGATGCCCGGGTAGGTGCGCGGAGAAGAAGGAAATTGAGGAAACTTCACAAGCTGCATGAACCCCCAAACCTCTAGAAATTCCTAAAGAGGCTCTAAACCCATCCTAAGCATTCCTAAGCCCTCTCGGCTGAGCCAGAGAGGTGGTCAGAGGTTGTCAAGGGTCAGGCTCACTTAGGGGTTGTGTTTTGGAACGCCTTGCGCGGTTTTGGGGGCTTTTGGGGGCTGTCAGACGGTTGTCAGGCGGCTGGGTCATAGTATGAGCAATCCCTGGATGTTAAGGCTTATCAAATAGCAAACTTCAAAGTCACAAAGTTGTTCAGGTTCTTGGTGGTGCAGCATACTTGAATGTCTCGGGGTGGACACAGCCAGTCCCAAGCGCGACAGATATCACAGAGACTGAGACCGGCACCGACACCGGTTCCCTCCCCCCGGCTGTGCCCCTGGTGCCCCTTGTCCCCTTCTTTTGCGTCTCTCCGCGCACCTACTCTCGGTGCACGGGCACTTTGTCGAGATGTGGATCTCCCATGGGAAAACCTGTCGGAATGGACATTAGCCGTAGCTTAGGCTCATCAGGCCTATCTGGCAAGCCAGGGTCGAAGGCCATCGTCGGGTCGCTTGTGAGGCTTATAGCCATGGAATCTCAGCATATGGAAAAACCCCGCTGGGGTAGAAAATGTTCTTAGCGTTTCTCTGGTACAGGCTGGGGGCCTGCACTTTGTAGTCTGGGGCGATCTCAAGTTTTTTTTTGGGGGGTCAATGTTTTGACAGGTTTCCGCCCTAAGCGGCGTGTAATGCTATGCAAGTGTGTCATACGCACACAGGCCAGCAAAAGGCGCGTGGCCCGAAGCCCAATTCCAAGAAGCCCAAACCTCTCAAACTTGAGCCCAAACCTCTCAAACTTGTTGAAGCTGCTTAGCCCCAAACCCATCTCAAACCCCGCAAGGCACAACGACAACCCGCAGGGTCGTCCCCATGCAGCTGACTGAGATAGCTAGCTAACTTCAGTGCAGCAGTGTAGCATTACTTTCATGCTCTTTCTTCTTTCCCCGGCAGGATAGCTCTGAGCTACTTGCATCCCCTCACAGGGCCCAAAGCCCCACAAGGCCCTAGCTTCGTCTTGACCCAAGACCCCCACAAGCACATTAAGCCGCTGAGCCGCTGGCCGGGTGCCCTCGACAGCTGCCTTGGGGCGAGCGGCCGGAATGGCACTCGATCCCGGGGTGTGGGGACAGTTCAGGGCAGTTCCGGGCAGTTCCGGGCAGTTCGGCTCTTCCCCGAAAGAAAATGGACCCGAGAACACTTCGAGAGCAATTTGTTCACAATGGCAGTCGCTCGAGGTAGAAAATATAAGCCCATCCCCACCATCGACGAACAGCTCCGGCCCTTCCTGTTGCACGGCGTACTGTTAAGGAGCTCTGGCAGGGGCAGCCGCAAATTCCCAGCACATACAGCATTGCGGGGTAGAGCCAATTGTGGCTCAGATTTTCCTGGTCGTCCTCGTAGTTCTTTGCAGTTGCGGGGGTCCCCTGCCAGACTCCGCTTGTAATCCTCACAGGCCGAGCGGGCAGAAAAGGCGCTCAATCCTTGCAAGCCATCCCTGGCGCACTCAGGGTGCACTCTTGAAGCCTTGTAAACCTTGTAAGTTGTGATTCAAGTTTTGGGTGTCAGTCTGCTGCAGTTGTCACGGGGTAGAAAGAGGAAGCAAAGTGGACTTGCAGCCTGGGCATGGCAAAGGGCAAGCCACACATGCGGAAGCCACTTGCGAGGCTTTCCTCGGCACTCAATGACTCAACACCGTCAACACCTTGGATCAATCCTGTGTGCCCAACATTCCCCTTCATTCCCCTTCATCCTCACACCTGGACTCAAAAAGGGACGCAGCAAAGCCCCCCAGCCTCCAGCCTTCATGAGAGGATGCCGACAAAGAATGGGCCGCCTACCGTAAGCCTCCAAAACGAGCAGCCCCCCCTCCACCTGTCCAGCCAAGACCCCACCGGAGCGATTTCAAGTTGTTCGGAACCCGTGGACAGCAAAAGCAGGAAGCTTTCTTGTAGCACCTGTAGCACCACACTACTGCGCTCCTAACGAAGTGATGCGGTGCAGGAGCATTTGTGTGGATGCTCCCAACCGCGCGGTGGGCGGCCTCCCAGACACGAGGGCCCCACGCAAGTCCACCACATCCGCCGCCGACTGATCCAACCAAAGCCCGACGGGGCTGTGTTTTTTCCCGCAAGTTTTTCATGACATTGCGCCGAGACTTGCGTCAAAGGACGCGGTGGCTTTCGCACAAGGAAAAACAGAAATTTGTCGTGCTCGCCTCGAGCTGAGCACGGAGAAAAACCAGCTCTGTTCTGCATGCAACCTCGGATTACAAGAGACGTGCTGGCTGTCGCGCGGGAAAAATGTAAACTTTCCATGCCCCGAACCTAGCAGCATGGAGACAAACGAGCTTTTATTCCGCAAGTGACCTTGAAAGACAAGATGCCCACGTGCAGAAGTTTGCCTGCCAGAGACCATAATGCAAGCTTCAAACACGAGAGACGAAGGTTTTTTCGCAGCAACCAGCAACAGCAAACTCCAACTCAGAATTTTGAGAGATCCAAAAAGCAACGGCACCTCCGAGCCTCAGCTCTGGGCAGGTCTACTACAAGGCCGCCACTGGGGGCACTGACCTGGAGGCGCCATGCCTTGGTGAGGGTAGGGGGGGGGCTCAAGCAGAACCCTTGGGGATGCCTTGGGTGCTTGTGGCTGCTTGTGGCTGCTTGTGGCTGCTTGTGGCTGCTTGTGGCTCGCTGCAGTGGGGCTTTGCTTGGATTTTGGGTGGGGGTGGAGTTTGGGTTGGGGTTGCGTGGGGTTTGTGGGCTTTGGGCGTTTAGGGTTGCGGGCGTTGGAGGCATCACTTCAGTTCGTGTTTGTGTGTTGCCTGTTTGTGTGTGTGTGTGTGTGTGTGTGTGTGTGTGTGTGTGTGTGTGTGTGTGTGTGTGTGTGTGTGTCTGCGCGCCATCTTAATGATAGGTGCAGTCCAAGTATTGCATCTGCAGGTTCAGGGTTCTGCTTCCCTGTCCATAGTGCCTGAGGGTGCCCAAGGAGGCCTTGGGTCTAGCACAATCCGCTTTGCTTCATGCTGCCATGGGCGGTTGGTCGGACCCTTTCGGGCTGTAGAGGCAGAATAGCGGGCATGTGTGGGAGCTGAAAAGCTCCGGAGCGCTTTCTTAACTTTCATGGAGGGATAGAGTGATAGAGTAGAACGTTGTCAGCGGAAATACAGATTCTTGCGTCGACTTTGATCTAAGCTCCGTCCAGCTTTCTCCCGAGGATACCGCCTGGGTGATCACTGGCGGTGGCGGCGGTGTGACGGCAGAAATCATGCCGCAAGGGGCCCAGCAGAATCAATCAATCTTCATCAATCTTCGACCTGTTTGGTGGTGTTCTCGGTGACTCGACAAGCTGCTTTCATGAAGGACGAGCAGCGGCTACGACGATGCCTATGGCTTTATGGACCTGCCCTTTAGTTGACGCATTGACACACCCTTGCCGGGTATTCCCAAAGCCCAGGCCAGAATGGTGAACGGCGAGTCTTTCCCTGGGTCCCTAGCCGCCCTAGCCAAGCTGAAAAACTTGGAGCCCAGCCTTTGTGGAAGGACATGACCATCTCCCTCGAAAAGATCGAGATCACGGCCATCTCCCACGGCGGCACCGGTGGCAAGTACATCGAGCGGAGCAAGACTGGGCAAGTTGTTGGAGCACCTTTTGAGGGTCTTTAAAGAGTCTTTATCCCGTTCCCCTTGACCGTTTCACAGATCGCCCCTCGCGCATCCTTTTGAGTAGGCCCTGCTGATGCTCTTCTTCTTCCCGGCCAAATAAGACGCTCTCACGGCTCGCGCTTGCCCATCGAAGTTGTGCTTCAAAAGTTTCACGAAACCTAGAAGTTAGATGAGTTAGTAGGAACAATCAGGGTGTCGAGGTTTCCGGAGGCTGGTCACTTGGCCACGATGGGCGTCTGGTTCGCCCACGGGCCGCGCTGCTCCACACGCGGGCCCTGAAATAAATGCAATCCTCGGAGCCGAACGTTGCGGCCAACGTCCACCACGTCCTGCGAGCCGCGGCGCAGTGTCGCCAGCCGCAGCCGCGCCATTCTTCGCAGGATCGCGGAGAAGCTGCCGGAAGTGCCATAGTACGTTGTATATACGTGCACCAGCGCGCCGGCCGCGTGCGGTTCGCGAGGATGCTGGTTATTCCCTTTGGCCCCTGCGGCTTTTGCGGTGGCGCACAAGGAGCGTTCCGCACAGCAGAGCCGGCCGAGGCGGCGGCCGAGGCGGACATCTTACATATCATTTCGTCTTATCTCATCTTTAACAGTGAACCTCTTCTATGCCCTGCTGTACGCCCCACAACTTTGCCCCCGCGGGCCCGTGTGGTTCAAGCCCAGAAGCCTGCAAATGTCTTGGGACAATTGGGCACCAGGACTACCGTCACTCCACGCCTCAAGCCAAGCCGACTTCTTAGCCAAGAGGACATTCCTTGCAGGCTTGTTCAAAGGCTTTGGAGGGTTTCAAGAAGCTTCCGGCCTCCGGAGATTTTAGGGATGGGGTGCATGCTCAAGTTTGGGTCCTTGCAGAGGGGCAGAGCAGGCAAGGCAGAGCATGTGGAGCACGTGTACGACAGTGTACGATGCACGCAGATGCACGCACAGCCGAGGGATGCACGTGCGGCGCGCAGCCAAGGGCTGCTCGCACAGTCGAGGGATGCCCTGTGCAATGGCCTTCATTGCTATACTGTCACTGTATC